CTGTGCAATGCACCTAAAAAAGAGGCAGAACTTCCGTGACGTGGTCGAGGATGCTATCTTGACTTTTTTTGACACACAAACATCCCCCACCCCTGGACACCTTTGCTTCTGAGAAATATTTTGAAGAAGCTCTTCTTAGCTTTGGCTTGCTCTGTTCAATAGGCCTACCAAAAGGAAAGGAAAGGAAAGGAAAGGAAAGGAAAGGAAAGGAAAGGAAAGGACCAAAGTCATAATACATGTAACTTCTTTGGTTTATTAGCCTTGGCCTGGAAAGTAGGACACTTCTTAATTGATAGGTGTTTCCTGGACGGCTCCTAGGTTCCTTCTTGTCATTTAACAGCCAATAATTGAGTGAGTTGGTCCAGGCATCATTCTTATCTTGTCCTTCATGCAAATTGGCTGTTACCTGTCTTCGTTTCTTCATCAGGTGAAACTGGGGCCTGGCAGGTAGAAGGATGATGAAAGGAATGGCCTCCTCAAGTTGCAATCTATAAAGCAACACGTCCAGCTGATTTTTTTCTCTCTCTCTGCCTTAGGCTCTTCAGCTGACTCAAAGCTCTAAACAGGATTAAGATAAAGGGGGAAAACCCTGGTTCCCCAGTTTCCCAGTAGAGCTTCTTCCTGCCTATTTCGTGGATGCTCAGTTTCCACATCTCATACCACATCTCTGAATCACCTCAGTTTGGATCAACCAACTTTCTTAGGACTGCAACCCTAGCCTCACTGGGATCAGGACTTTAGAAGACCTCATGCCTCTTCCCATTCTTTTCCTACCCTTCCCGTGAACAAGGCAATCCTTCCTTTCTTTTTCAAAAAACTCATAGAAAGTCCTCTCGTTTCCATCTCATACCTCTTCCTCAGCAGCAAATCATCCATACTTCCAAATTCCACATTATTGCCCTTTCTACCTAGACTAAAATTTGGTCATTTTATTCTGCCAGTGTATTTTCCTCTTCTAGGCCACCAGTCATACTTCTTTTGCTGGATCTCCTCTCCAGGCCAATGTGAGAATGAAATCTGGGCAGCAGCTAGCCAACTTGGGCTGATCTCAAAAACTTAAGCAAGGTTAGATCTTGTTAATACCACCAGGGAATCTCAAATTAAGAGTGGTAAGGTGAAAAAAAAAATCTGGTACAACACCAAACCACTTCTGTGTTGCAAGAAAACATAGATATTCCCATGAGATTGTAAGGAGCCAAGCTACACTCGTGGTAGCTTTGTCTGTCCTGGAGTAACGGAGGAAGGATTACCATTTGATCACTGGAATTAGGGGAAGGGGAGGAAGAGTGTAGGATATAGGTCAAAGCTAGTCTGTCTACCTGTCCTGACCCAACCGGTTCTCCTGAAATTGACAAGGTTTATAGTGATGACAAAGCCATGACCAGAAACATAACAGAGTGAACCTGGCCAGCTACGAAACTATCCAAAGTGATTTAGATCAAAGACATATTTATATTTATTTGAAAGGGAGGAGAGGAAGATAAAAAATAGGGTTCACCTTCATTGAAGTGTATTCTCCAACCTGGAGCTCCAATTTCCAGGACGGAACTGTTTATCTAATAAGAGCCTTGCCTTGCGGGGGGGGGGGGGGAATGGCAAACCATGATCAAAGTCTGGGGAAGGTTAAAATTCAAATGTTAAGTCTGTAGGGTGAAAAGTTCTGACCGTAACATCAGAGAAGGGAAATTAGGAAAAAGCGACTGGAGGGTAATCATGTTAACGGTATTTAATTTGAATTAGGCTTAAAGGTAAGTAAAACAAAATATATAATACTGGCTTGGACAGAAACTCCAAATTCCTTTCCTTGATCCCTGATAGCTCAAACCTCATTCTTGGAGTCTCTGAAAGCTGAAAAGGATCCAGTCTGTGAACCCAAGTGGGTCAAGGAATAATTCCTGGGATTTTATTCCATCCAGGGAAAGACATGAGGCAGATTGTAGGGTTATTAGTTGTTTTATGCATCCCTATTCCCTTATTTTCCTTACTAGCCAGACTTGAAGATATCAGCAGACAAGACCATGAAAAGTTTTTCTGACTGATCCAAATACTTTAGAAAACACCGGAGCATCACTGCAGCTGATTTTATTTTTATCTTTCTGAAGAATTGGCAGCCCAGGATGACTTAGCATATTTCTGGGTTATTTGTAAAAAGGAAGTGAGGATTTTAAATATGTAATACAGGAAGAACGGTAAATAAATTGCTAAAACTAGTGAACCATAGTTGATGAAGGGGTCTGCGGGTGCCAACTTCGGTTTCTTTTCAAGGCTCCTGTGCTTTTCAGAGTAGCCCCGCCAGCAGGAAGCAGAAAAGCATGAATCACGCTCAGATAGTTTTGCACCAATTTTCTCCTTGCCTGCTCAGATGGAAAGGCACAGGAGTCCTTCCAGACGACTAAAAAAAAGTTGGAAAGCATAGCTGCTGGTGGAGATGAACCAGCCAAGCTTCTCTGGGAAGCAAGGAAGGTCATATTAAAACAGGAGAGTGGAGAGATTTTTTTTTTTTTAATGAAAGATAGCCCACTCCTTCCTCAATAGGCAAGGGTGTTGGTGTCAGGGCCCTATATATCTCTCTGAAGGGAAAAGAGCCTAGTGGTTATATCAACACCTGGTTCCTAACAAGACAAGGGAAGGGAAGGTGAAGGTGAATAGATTGTGTCCTTTTAAGCAAGGTGGCTTCTGCTGAGACTGATTTCCTAACAATTATGTAACTCCAGCTTGCTCACCCATCCCTCCGTTGCACATGAATACTGGCTAGAGGTCTGTAGCCTTCTCAACCTGCTTCTGTTTCCTCTCCTTCTCTGTAATTCATCCTCCTTTGCTGGTAATTCCACCCGCCCCAGTAGCAAACTGGGTGGTGACTTTATCACATGCCCACACACACACAGAGGCAGACACACACATATAAGAAGAAGCTGAGATGCTTCTGCCACCATCACTGTCACCTTGCCCAGCAGGGCAGAAAGAGACACCCACCGTACAGGTGAGGCTTCCTGGGGCAAAGGAGAGAAATGCAGTGGGGGGTTAAATGATTGCAAAGATGGGCTTGAAGGCCGGGTGGCTGGGGGACTGTAAGAGTTATTGCTTTATTTTGTGATAGATCATTGATGACCAGCTTTTTAAGGGGGAAGATTTTGTGTTTCTGGCTATTTTCACTGGTTATCAAGGCACTTTGCACATGCTCAGAGTCTCTATTGTTGACTAAGAAAGTAAATGCTATTCAGGATCACTCCAAGGGCCCATCAGTTTTCATAGCCTCTTTCTGAGAATTATGTATCAAACTCTGATGTATACCAATCGGGCATGAAATCAACCTCCTTTTCCTGTTGCTTATTTTATTTTATTTTATTTTATTTTATTTTATTTTATTTTATTTTATTTTATATTTATATATTTATATATATATAAAACTTTTGTTAAGGATTCTTCAAAAAGAAGATAAAAACGAATACAATCTAATATAAAGTAAGAAAAGAGAAAGAGAAAGCTAAAAGTGTGAGAAAAGAAAAAATAAAGAAATATAGAAAATAAAGAAAAAAAGTACAATGACGTGACTTCTGATCTTCTTTACAGCAGTTATAAGTACAATTATAAATTTACCTCTTACTCTATGGTTACAACATAACTCTCTTCTTTCCATAATCTATCCTATCTGATCATCAAAACCATAAATCATAAGTTCATTTTTTTCTGTTTCTCGCAAAAAGTCCACAAGGGGGTTCCAGTCAGCGATAGAAGTAGATGCTGTCTTTTCTCCGATCTTCTGTTGCTTATTCTCAACGTAAAAATGTTGAGGATACAATGATGCAGAACAGAGAGGCTTCATTTAGCAACTGATGAATTGGTTTCCCAGATATTTGTCTCATATGTTTTTATCGCATCTTGTGGTGACAGGTCTGTAATGTTAATTATGCATCAGCACGGTTATCATTAATCATATTTTAAGACTTAGCCTTGCTCATTTTTAATTTTTTTTTTTTGAAGTTTCAGCTTATACTTACTCATAAACACATTCTGGTGTATAGAGAAATTTCTCCTCTGTTGCAACATGCATGGCAGTTCCATATCAATGGTCTCATGATCACACATCGCTTTATTGTTACCTAAGTGTTCGCTTTGCCCTGTTGAAGTTGACTGTGGTTCCTTGTGCCCATGCAAATGTGCGTGAGAAGTCATATACCCAATCATATACAGTATTACTTCTTTCAAAATTTGGTAACCAAGCTACTACACCCAGATTATTACACTGTTTTTCTGGCCCTTCTGGTGCCACAATAATCAGATGACCCAGATGAACTGGGTCATCTGATTATAAATACATCCTATTTTGCTTATATGCATCCTCCTTGTTTGTAGCTGCATTGCCAGCCCATTAAGCCTCTTTCATGTTTTAGGTTTAAGGAGAGCCAACCATTCCAAATGACAATAAGTTGATGTTCGTCTTGTTTTCAAAAGAAAGATTCTAGGCCTCATGATTGCGATGGGGAACAATTTGAAATAATTGCAAAGGTTCAAACAGCTGCAGGATTGAATTCAACAGATTGTTCAGCTGTTAACTTTACCAAATCTATGTTCATAAACTTGATATAATATCTTATATATTATTATTGGTATTATTAATCATACTCTACAACTGAACCTTGATTTTTCTTTTGAATACAGTTTCAGCTCATACTTCAGTTTTCATAAATGCTTTCTGGTATATATCAAAAATTCGCCTTGTTGCAATCGGCGTGACAGTTCCATGTCGATCGTCTCATGGAAGTAATTATACTACTAGTACTACTAGTAATATAGTATACTACTAGTACTACTAGTAATATAGTATACTACTATACTACTAGTAATATTAGTACTACTACTGTAGAAGTACCACTATAGTATATATGCTACTACTATCAATTATAATATTATGAATACTTGCCTTATGGATTAATCAGGAGGCCTCACTTTTCCCCATAGCCCAGCCAGACTCCCAACCTATGGCTTCTCTCAAGATACTCATGACCCTCATGATGGTCTTTTCACTGGCGGGGGGATGCTACGCCAGCTCTGAAGGTAATTTGGAAAGTGCCTTGCTGGGGAGCGGGGAAGTGGAGGGCCAGAACATCCTGCCAGGGTAAAATTAAATCCTGTTGGGATGGATTTGGAAGCTAATAAGGTTAGCCTGGTTTGGACTCAGATGGGAAATGCCAGGCTAGAGATGAGACTGGGAAAAATCTGGAAAAAGCCAGTGACTAGACTTGGCCAAGAAACACAACACCCTATTTCTTTCCTTTATAGGTTCCTGGTGCTACACTGAGCCGCATTGTGGTAAGAAAAATGGAGCCGTTTTCCTTTTTGATCCCCTAGATCACAAGCCATGCTTGATTTCAGCCAGGGATCCTCCAATGTAGTGTTTCTTGACCTTGGCAAATTTAAGATACGTGGACTTCAACTCCCAGAATTCCCCAACCACCATGGGCGGGCGGGGGGGTTCTGGGGGTTTAGGCTCAGTTACTTTATTGATTCAAAGGTAA